AACATTTTGATAATATAAGTTTGAGAGAAATATAAAGTAAAATGAAATAACTCCATAACAGGTGGTAATTCAAGTTTTACAGTAGTATATAGGTAATGATCTTGAGGCTTCAGTGGTAAGATTATCCATCGTGAACACAGCTGCGGTAATGAGATCTGACGTTACTTGAAACACACTTCTCCTAGTATGGGTTTCGCTACTTAATGAAGGGTTTTGTATTATAACAGAAATGCACATTTTAACTGACACTGATTTCCACCCAGGTAGTAAAGTTATAAGTTAATGTTTTTGAATAACATTCTATGAACTAAATAAGTTACTTTATTTTAGATTGAATTCCAAGTCAGACATCGTTTGTTTGAGAAAGACCAATATTTTGTGCAAGTGTCGGAAAGTTCAGAATTGGTGTACCAGTTGAGCCTTTTGAAATCAGTAAAAGACGTTACCTTTGATATTGTGGGTAAGTACATCCTAGAGAGATTATGATAAAACTATTATAATACAACTATAAAAACGTGATGGGTGATTTTTTATTCAAAGTTTTTGGAAAACGGCCAATGAAAAAGCTCAAGGGTAAAGAAACTGAACTATTCTGATTTCAATTTCATTGCTTCATGTTCTTATTTTTCTTAAGCAAATGAATCAGATATTTACACCATTACATAGTGATTGCCCTTAATTACCAATATTATTAAGATATATATATTATTAACTGAGAACTATAATTAATTTAAAATAAGACTCAGAGCTAAACACTAAATGTTTCTGCTTCATGTTCTCTTTCTTCAATGAGTATAGATGAATCCGAGATATTCCAAGTTTCTGAAGATGGAAAGATCACGATGGATCCCAGTAAAGTTAAAAAGGGAGAAAAGCACGAGTTCACAGTTGCTGCACAAACATCTAATCCCCCGATTTCAGATAGAACTAGAGTTATAGTTGACGTGTTAGATGATAACCAGGATTATACACGTTTGTTTCAGAAAGACCTTTTCATAGCAGAAATCCCAAGCGCCGCCTCTGAAGGTCAAAGTGTTTTTACAGTAGAGGCAAAAACTGGTGTTGAAATGAAAATTATAGGTAGGATGATCCATTCAATTCGGTGAAAAACATTTATTGTTTTTAATAGTGACATCTATCAAAATATAGACACTAAATTAAATTAATTATAAGATTCACAAGTAATTCAAACATACTATCTGTATAACATATCTGTGTTCGATACAACAGCTCTTTAATTTAGTTCAAACTATAAAGTCAACGTTTCTGTTGTTTTTATTTTAGACGGTGATAGTGACAGTTTTACACTTGATTCAAAGTCAGGTTTAGTGAATGTGGCCTCGGGATTTGATGGTTCCAAATCTAAGTACACCTTGAAACTTAAGGGAACCATGAAAAATGAAAAGGGTGAACAGAAAGACACGACACAAGTATGTAACCTGGAGATAATAGAAAACTGTATTGCTCTTGCTATAGCATTCACTAGCTATAACTTTCGTTCTTGGACACCGTTCTTCCTTACAACTATTCCACGACTGCTTTCTCTTCATCAAATGCTCACTAGCAAATATGTTACTGTAGATCTTTATTGCTCAATAAACTTGATATCTAACAAACTAATAACGGCTTCAGGACTTTAATTTTCATTGTTTTATTTATCATATTATTTTACTTTGGCTAATGTGCACTCTGTTGTCTGAAGAAGATTCACACTTTAGAAAATACAAAGATGAATTTGCTTGCTTTTCGCAGTGCTAACGAAATGTGTGAAGAATGCTTATCCCTCACATACTGCTGGTGACAGAGGGTTTTACTGAGCATAAATCGCATAGCCTATTATTGTGAAATATTTGTTTGTGTATAATGTACTGTCGCCTTTACATGGTATTTCTCTGTTCACACTATTGATCTTCTGGCCAATAAAACTTGACGAAAGTTTCACTGTTCCATTGCAAAGTTAATAATAATAATTTTAATTTATTTTCCCACAATTAAAAACTGCTTTTACTTTTAGGAAATATGAATATCACTGTTATCTCTATCGTTTAATTTTTGTATTTTTTTCAGATTGACTTTTTTGTCAAAGAAGACAATCGAGTGTTTGCTAAAGATCAATTTTTTGTAGAAATGGATAAGGAATCTACAACAGATTTCACACTCGACCTCAAAACTGAAAATGTTGACCTTCAGATAGAAGGTATGTTATAAGGATTATGTTTGGTTTTAAAACGTTATAAATTTATTTGTAATCTATGGTGTATACCGTCTTCCGTAAGTAAAGATCTTTTATAATAACCACATAGAACGTTATTTACATGGAAATGCGTCCAAATTAAATACGGTTTCCCTGTAAATGTTAGGATGATTCTGGAACTAAAAGCACACAGCCAATTGGCATCTTTGTTGCATATAAACGCAAAACGTGCTGCCCAGTCTTTCAAAACTCTTCCCATACTTGATCGTTGGCTGCAAGGGAAGGTAAATCGCTCTTTTCGAAGATAAATATTCATTTCATAGAACTGGTAGACAATATAAATTCAAAGAATACAACATTTAAAACAAAAAGTCTCAATGACCTTCATGGAAAATGAAAAAACTAAAACATTTAGAATAGCGCATCTTACACTAATATGCACCAGAGGGCCTTTCGATAACAAAATTTACACCAATGAAGCATGTGATTTGAAGTAGACGAGCTTTCAAAAGCCAAAACTTCACAAGCTATCAGTAAAACTACGTAATTAACGGCTATTTTCATGAAACACTGGCTGTATATGTTGGAATCAAAACAATCACGTTTAAATACATACAAATCAAATCTTCCCATGGATCTTTTGTACCCTTATTGTGTTTAAGCAAAAACTTATATATGTCATGAACTTCATGGAAACATTGGTATTATTATGAAGCAGAGAAAACATTTAATGTATGGTAGATGGTAAATATATGGTTTTCAATACTAATACATCAAACTTAATAATACTTCCCATAATCTGTCAATGATCATCCTTATGTTTATTATAACCTTGTGTTTATTATAACCTTATGTTTATTATAACCTTATGTTTATTTTAACCTTATGTTTATTATAACCTTGTGTTTATTATAATCTTATGTTTATTATAACCTTGTGTTTATTATAAGCTTATGTTTATTATAACCTTGTGTTTATTATAATCTTATGTTTATTATAATCTTGTGTTTATTATGAGCTTATGTTTATTATAACCTTGTGTTTATTATAATCTTATGTTTATTATAACCTTATGTTTATTATAACCTTATGTTTATTATAACTTTATGTTTGTTATAAATTTGTGTTTATTATAACCTTATGTTTATTATAACCTTGTGTTTATTATAACCTTATGTTTATCATAACCAAGGTTTTTGTTTTCATGTGAAAAGAAAATAATTGTGTACATATCCGTAATAATAAGTACTGGAAATAAAACATATAAAACTATAATTTAAGTAAGAATCTAAATACTTCTTCTATAAACGTTTTATGCTGCGCAAATAACTGAGTTTCATTTTCTTGTCTAATGTTCTAGGTGAACACACTGATAAATTCAGTGTTTCTAACGACGGTATAATTACAATGGATCCCAACAAGGTTGAAACGAATCAAAAATATCCTATCCATATCCTTGCAAAAACTAAATCAACACCTAAGATAACAGATACAACTAAAGTCATTATTTATGTAGTACAAAAAGCTCAAACCACTGGAAGTTTATTTGAAAAGGAGCTTTTCAGAGTGGAAATTCCTACTGTCAACACCAAAGGTCAGAAGGTATTTACAGTAAAGACCACAAAGAGTGAAGTTCAGATTGAAAAAATAGGTATGGAGAAATTTCAAAGTAATTTTTCTTTCTCGTGTACTAGATGCCAAAGTCAAGCTTTCAGTGCCTTGTTGTACCTAGTTGATCAGTTTGTTGTGGTTTTAATTATTTTCTCGACTAATAATGATCTTCAAAACTAATTAAACCATTTACACTCTTAGCTTAACTGAGCACATAAAGACTGATTCATTGCTACTGGCCCTCCAGTGGCACAGCGGTATATCTGCGGACTTACAATGCTAGAAACCGGGTTTTGATACCCGTGGTGGGCAGAGCACAGATAGCCCATTGTGTAGCTTTATGCTTAAATTCAAACAACAAACAAACATTGCTACTGCTTTGGGTTTCCTATTGAGAAGTTTTAACTGTCATTCAACCAAATGAATAAATCAGCTTCATCACATTTCTGGTAACCTTTCACAAACGTATATAATGCTAATTCCGGTAGATTTTAGCCAATACAGGTAATTAAAGTTTGTCACAAGACCAAACTGGTTCCTGGTATATGCCAGCAGAAACTAAATCAATATACTTTTCAGCCATTTGTGTTGTCTATGCTATAAATGGCTCTGAAGATTATCATATGTCCGAGACAGTTTGTTGATGTGCGATAGATGTCTAGTTTATCAACAAACCTGGAATAATTTGGTGGTGTACTACAGGAATAGCGTCTAGTTTATCAACATACCTGTGACAGTTTGGTGGTGTACTATAGGAATAGCGTCTAGTTTATCTGTGACAGTTTGGTGGTGTACTATAGGAATAGCGTCTAGTTTATTAATATATCTATAACAGTTTGGTGGTGTACTATAGGAATAACGTCTAGTTTATCAACATACCTGTGACAGTTTGGTGGTGTACTATAGGAATAGCGTTTAGTTTATCTGTGACAGTTTGGTGGTGTACTATAGGAATAGCGTCTAGTTTATCTGTGACAGTTTGGTGGTGTACTATAGCAATAGCGTCTAGTTTATTAATATATCTATAACAGTTTGGTGGTGTACTACAGGAATAGCGTCTAGTTTATCAACATACCTGTGACAGTTTGGTGGTGTACTACAGGAATAGCGTCTAGTTTATCAACATATCTGGAACAGTTTGGTGGTGTACTATAGGAATAGCGTCTAGTTTATCAACATATCTGGAACAGTTT